CCACACTACAATCTAATAACTTGCATTATGATTATTATAATTAGAGATTGACAGAATTTATTGTAATGATACTAACAACAATATTTTACAAATATCTCAAAAACTATAAAAATTTCCTTGTTTTCACAAAAATGATCTTTATTGATTTTTGGTTTCAGCGAGTCAAAATACACGATGATATTTAACCAAAAATATTGCTGCCTGTATATTGTACCTTCGCTATTGTATACAACATACCCAACAATTTCTGTAGTACCTGTCCATCATATAAGTCTTCTGCAATATCTTTCACAATAATCCGCTGGTTGGCTAATTCATCATTGATCCATTCGATCAGAACGAATATTAATTCTTTCAGTTTGGAATCTTCCAAAGACCTAGGTTCTATCATTGAACGCTCCTCATTTTCATCCAATGCATACTCCTCTGGTGGCATCTCTGGACTGGCTGCAAATCCTGGTGAATCAATTGCATACTTCCCCTCTTCTTGTACCTCTTGCACTATATCAAATTCAAAATAAACATCAGAAATCAAAAATCAAGCATGCGTGAACAATAATTTCAAGAAAATTTTCTCTTCTATCAATAATTAATAATTTCAAAAATACTTTCCTAGTGGAATATTCAAAATGATAGTTGATAAAAATCGTTAAGGTCATCATTACACAAGTTTTATAAATATGCGTACAATTTTATTATTTTAACACTGTAACAATCGAACTTGTAAATTTGAGACTTTTGTTTTTTACAACTGCTTAAAAGATGCGAGTATTCTTGTCAAAATTAATATTAATTTCTGTTTGAGCAGAAACACAATCATATAAATCTATTTATTTTAATTATCATATATGTAGATTATATGTATGTAGATTTATATGTAGAATATTCTGATAATCGTTCTAATGCTAATAGATTTATTTATTTATTTATATTGATATTTTTGAACAATTAAAGTCAACTATACATCGGCCTATTGATTCTCTGTCCATTTTTATTACATCAAGTATATCATGTTTTAAATACTTTCGTGGGCCAGTGACACCCACTGTGAAAGATTAAGAATCGAATATAAGTATCATCAACAATACCAATATTCTTTGAAGTTTGTCATTACTCGTACCATATAAGGACATACATTCTGGATAAATTCTTAGTAAAAGAATAAACTAAGTTAACTTGTCATAACGTAATGTGAATCCAATGCGATACCTTCTTTGATACGTTTTTTTCGACCTAACGTCCCGATTTTATCCCAAAAGCTTTCTTCTTTCTCATCCTTTTTCGATGAAACAAGAGGTCGCGGAGACTTTGGACGTGGAGACGACATTATTCAACACTACATTCATAAATGAAAAAGAAAAGATGAAAGATGTCATCTCTCGAAATACAAACTTTCGATCTCGTTTACAATCGTCGATACACATACATTGTACATTTCGAGTCTTTTTTTAATAATCTATATCGAGATGAATTTTTCAAATATCAGTTTCTAAGAATATTTCTCTTTTTCATTGTTGTTGTTGTTGTTGTTTACGTAGATTCGAAATTATCAACTTCTGTAATATTTCATTATTTTACATATATTTTATTTCAAATACAACATACGTCTTGAATCTTAAAAATTGAATAATACATACATTTCAAATCGCGATTTTCTTTAAAAATGTTTTAATAAAAAAAAAAATATAATGACAAAAACGAACTATTCGCTAGAGTAAAATTTGCACAAAAAGTTCACTTATATTTGTTTAAACGGATTTTGTATCCAAAACTGAATTTAAAAAAAATTAAATTGAATTTTCATCTGATCTTATAATATTATATATATTGTTGTAATAACATTTGGAAAAATGCACGTAATGTATATGTGGAATTGAATCGTTTAGTAACTAGGCCTCATCATTGTGTTTGTGAAACGTGATTTTGAGGTTATCAACAAAACATCGAGAAATAATCGTTAAAATGTTGTCACTAATACGACGTTATAAAGTCACCAATACAATAGGGGCATTAAAAATTACGAAATTATCATCTTCCACGAGTACTGATGATGATATAGGTAATTAAATTTTATGCTTATTATATAGACAAATATATCTTTCTATGTGTGTTGTCAATTTGCATGTATTTTCTTCCATAGAATTTCGAGTATTGCAATTGATACCACCAGAAAAGAAAATTGTAAGCAGAAAGCAACAAACAGTCACAGAAAAAAATATACTAACAAAATTGAGAAAGGAAACACCTAATCAAGACTGGCATTCGATGTGGCCTGTTGCACGATCATTTCATCCTAATATCGTGCCGCTTCCTTTACAACAAGGATACAAAAATAACGAAGGCGTACATCCTGGCAAATACGGTAATGCGGAGCTACTGAAAATCCCAAATTTTTTACATCTTACTCCACCTACAGTAAAGAAACATTGCGAAGTATTGAAAAAGTTTTGCACCAAATGGCCAAAAGAATTGGAATCGGATGAAGCGTGTGTAAAGCACTTTCCCGTTGAAGTAATTACATCAGATTACTGTTACTCCTCGCCTACGATAAGAGAACCCCTCGCTAGAATAGTTAGTTTAAGAGTAAAATTATCCTCTTTACATTTGGATATTCATGCCAAAGATAAAATACTTAGGTTACTGGGTGATAGATATAATCCTGAAACAGGTATAATAACGATAATTGCAGACAGATGTCCAACTAGAAAACAGAATTTAGATTACGCAAAATACCTTCTAACTGCATTATTTCATGTGTCTTGGGTAAGTCATTTTCTATTGCTTTCATTAATTTTCTAATAGCATACAAGTGAAACGAATCAAGCAGGATTGTTTGAAACAAATTATTTTAGCGTTTTGAACCATGGGAAATGGAAAAGTCTGCAGTAGATGTGGAATATTATGACTGGGATAAAAGTAAAAGCAGAGAATCTTTAACATCTATGTACAATTGGCCAAGTATACCAACTGACTCCAGTTATGAATACATCCCACATGCAACAGAATATAAAATTGCAGTTTCTGATTTAATAAATAAAGGAGAAGATCTAGTTTCACTTAACAAATATAAACAAGCTGTTAAAAGTGTGTTAAATCTGAAATTTAATGAGTCTATGGAATAAATAAATAAATGTAAATAACAAGATTCTAAAACTTGTTATTATTGTTGCGGAATATTCATGCAAAGAAAAAAAAAACGTGAAATTACGACAATGTGATATACGTAACACAAATACATGTAAAGGATAATAGACGGCATTATACATTATGCATTATTATTATAAAGAAAGAAAAAGAAATAATTTAATTTTCAAGTTTAATTTTATTTATCTTTTTATATTAAAGATACTTTTGCATCTTCAATAACTTAAAAAGCGATTTAGTCTATAAATTAAAAATATAGTAGTAAATTTAAATGTATATATATCTCATTTAAGATCTATGTTAACCATTTATTGAAGACGTAAAAACTGATAGAAATAAAATGACTTCCATTCACAATATTTGTTGACGTAACAGTACATTTCTATTCAACTATATCATCAATTTCTCATCTGTTTTCAATTTTTACACTACAATACAAAACATTGAGTATATTAGATAAATGTGAATCGATATTTTACTTTCTATCGTTCTCCTTTTATAGTCAGTCTTCAAATGATTTATTAAAATATCATTAAGGAGCAACATAAATTCGTAGATATTAAAAGCATACAATTAAGAATACATTTACATTATTACAAGATTGCTTAATTTTATAACTTCAATTATCAAATTAACATCATCAACATTTTGCAGTTATTATTTTTCTTATTCCAACGTCATTTTTATACATTTATGATAATGTTATTTTACGCTATAAATTTTTTGCATTTATATATTAATAGAAATATAAAATGTTTAATCAGATTTCTATCATTTTCCTTGCACTAGCATACACGTTTCATTTATCATTAAGTTTTATCTCGTATTGTTACCGTTGTTTTCATGGAATTTGTGACGAAGGTAAGGTTGAGTAGGATCTGCAACATTTTAACAATTTTTATTTCAAATGAGAAATATCGAGAAACTACTTGTAAGAAGAATTTAAAAACTATAACAACTATAAACTCATCTTTTTTTAATGACTTTAGAAATTTATTTCATTTTAATAAATGTCATTTCGCTTCAATTAAAAAATATCAATAATAATATAATTTATTGCAATTTATCAAAGGCTATACTTACTTTTGTTTCCCATTCGGCTTTTGATAGGGATGTGTTGTCATTAATGTTCTTCTTTCTTTTTCCCTTACTATTTTCAATACTCCACCTGATACATTCATATCAATATTTTCTTTTTTAAGTTTATCTGCTTTTAATTTATTTAATATGGCTATACTTTTAGCGCTCATTGTTACATGTGATTTTTGCATATGTTTTTTATTTTCTTTATCTTTGGTTCCTATTGTACAGATTGTAATATTTTTACGTTTTGGAGATATCTTTCTTACTTGTTTGGTAAAAGTTTTTGTCATACTTATATTATTTTTATCTAAAAGAACACGCTTTTTAGCTTTGTCTTGTGTACAATTTGTATTATTACGTTCCTCTTTCGTACTCTCTTCTACTGCTTTTATATCTGTGTTACATTCCACAGCCGAATCTTCTTCTAACGTGATAGTTGTATTATGTGCATCTCCTTCTTCGGAGCAAGCTGCACTGAAAGTTGCATCCAATGCATCTTGATCATTTAAAGATTGCAACACATACATTGGTACCTTGCTATTAAGAGGATCCATTAAGTGAGTTACACTAAGGCATGTCAGGCTATAAAAGCATTCCTCTTGATTGATTGTTTGCATATCTGACCATTTTATATTTCTCACTCCTTCCAATAATTTAATCAACTGTTTGAATTCTTCTTTCATTATATCTGTCAGGGTTCCAGATCCTCTCATCATGTTGTAATAATTTTGTAACGTTGTACTCATCATTTTAATCATTGAATAATGAGACTCTATTTCACATTGTTGAAGATTGCTCACTTTCTTTGCATGTTCGTATTGTTGTTGTAATCTGGATTTTTCTATTTCACTAGTTTGTAGTGCAATAATATTTTCCAATTTTTCAAGTTTCTTTAACTTTGCTTCTGTGTATAGTTTCTGTATTTCTGTCTCTACCGAACACAATTCTTCCCATGTCGCTTTTATCTGTATTTTCAAGGAATCTCTTTGTCGTTCAAAATAATTCAACGATTTGTTAACTCTTGACTTACCACTTGCATTTTGTTCTTCGAGCGTTAAAGTATCAACAGCTGTTGTTAGATTATGCAATCTCTCATCTGCTGCTTTCTTATATTGAATCCTACAACATAATATTTTGTCCGCGCTTTCTAACGAAAGAATCTTTTCGTTTAGAACTTTCTTCCTCTGAAACAGTTCGATCAATTTATTACTGTTGATTAATAAATCTTCATCTACTTCTTTATTACTCTCTTGAGTACTCTGTGGTACTATATGCAACGATTTATTTTCAAACGTCGATAACTTTTGTTTCAGATAATTTATTTCTTTCTTTTGTTCTTCAACCATTTTTATATACGCAGTTACATGCAACTCGCAGGATAAAATGTTTTTCTTTATATGAGTTTTGATCTTCTTTGCTCTGTTTGCATATCTCAATGTATTGTACGTGTCTTCGTAACTAAAGCTAGAAGAGGTAATATTAGCTATCATAACTGTCTGACAATTTCCACCTAGCGAATCTTTTAAGAGACGGGTCAACTTAGAATCTCTATATGTTATATGTTTTGCACCATCCGCCAACTTGTTGATACAATTGCCCAGAGCTAATAAAGATTTATTAATGTTTGCACCCTCTTTGAACCTCGCTCCTTTACAACCTGTAGCAGAAGCTCTTTCAGACCCAGCCAAATCGATCATAGACAATTTAACTTGTCGTACTTGTCCATCCAGTCTATTGGTGATATTGATATAAACTTGAAAAACAGCGTGACTTCTGCTGCTCTCCTCGTTCGCATCAGTGGGATGTTGCGTGCGATTCTTATTACCTTTTGCTAATAGCGTCAGTAATTCTTCAGCATTCTGAATGGTAATTATCTTAAGCCCAGCAACAATTACTCCGCATCTACCATCGTCTCTCAGATGTAAAGGTCCAGACTTATGCAAAAGATCCTGTACATTCTCGTTATAGATTTCCAAATACGTTACACCTAAATTAAATTCGCGTTGTTCGCTCTGTTTCTCTATCTGGGAGAATAGTTCTGCGACTGTTCTATACGTGATACCAGGATCTTCGTCACTACCAAGCATAGTATGAGTTTTTCCAGCACCGGTTGCTCCATATGCGAATACAGAGCAGTTATAACCATCCAAAAGATTACAAATCAAATCTTTGGTACTTCCTTCGAACACGTCACTGTTGTCCGACGTCACGTCAAATATTTTGTCAAAGACGAACTGCAATTCTTTATTTTGTTTCTTGAGCAGATCACGACCTTTCTGGGCGACGCCGTGATAAAAAAACGGATTCTGATCCTCTTTCGGATCAAAAATTAGCATTTTATCGTCAACGACCTTGACAACAGTTTTATAATTGTTTTGCATTTCAATCTGATTTTGCGGCCGTATTCTTACGATTACTTTGATGCTTGTCTGGGAGCCAGCGGATTCAGTTTGCACCGATAAACCTGTGCCCTCGCTCATGCTTGGCTTCATCCCATTGCTCGACAACCGTTTCTTCGGCAACTTTTTAATCTTATTCGGCGAAAATGCTTTCGCCAGATCTTTCTTATTAAACACCATAGCAAACTCCGATTAATTTACACAGAGGCATCCATCACCGACCGTTGAGTGTAAACTAAGCTTTCAAATTTAAATCCTGGATCTCTTTAAAACCAGTTTTGACAATAGTAAACACGATTTTAGTGACATTCTAGGGAATTTTTGCATAGTTATTTCATTAACTTTGAATGAATATTACGAATATTTCCATTTTCGTGCATCATTACATGTATTGTATTACACCTCAGCAAATACATCATTCGTTACGTTATTATTACGTTATTGCACGTACAACTTGCAATTATTTGCAATCATTTTTTTCAAAATATCTTTTCTTTCAGTGTGATTACGATTAGATTACAGTAACTACTTTATCTTGATAAGAATTAATTAATATAAAATTAACATAGAAGAAATAATAAAAAATTCATTGCTCTATTTGTTAATATAATCAAACAGCACTATACTATACTATCAAGTAGAATTTCATTTAGTTGAAACGAATCATTCTTTGTATTTATTAAACCACTACTATACCAGAAATGTCAATTATTTTTAATTTCCAAATAGTCAAAGAGGGCAATTATGTTTTATAATTTGACATAGTGTTTGTAATTTAGGAAACAATTTGTAGGAAAGGGACTACAACTTGGGATTACGAACATATGACTGTTCAATGTTTTGAATTTTATATTTCTCTCTCTCTTTCTCTTTCTCCCTCCTACAAATATTATCAATATTATTAAAACATTGATACATATAATTTTATTCGCTGCAATAATATTATCGTCAGAAAAAAATATTCTTCGCTGCTTTTCTTTGCTTTCATGCGCGCACGCGTATATATCATGCATTGGACTACATCTAAGATCTATTATTCTTAGAAAGACGTAAAAGATAGGCACTTGACATAACCTGCAAAGTAGACAAAATGTGTTGCAGGAATAAAAGCACGAAAATGCGCTAGTACGAATATACTGCAAAATCCGTAGGAATAGAATGGTCTTACAAAACGTTGGCAGCAATTTAATTAAAACTGTCAGTAACGTATGCATTAGACAAAATGAATGGAGCAGTAACAAGTGTACTCAAAGATTGTACATGGCACTACCCCGGCTCACACCACAGGAGGTAACACAGGTCCATTAAATTTTTTTTCAAATTCTCCTCTTTACAATCACGTTGCAGGTTACAGCAGTTTTACAGGCCAATGAGTATACCAAAGAATTTGACGAGGAAAGCTCTGTAAAGTACTATGATTCAAATCAGTTGGCGTCCAACAATCCTATGGAGGATACTCGATCAGAAGCTCAATGTCTACTTACGAAAGGTACAAAAGTTATGTAAAACAGGAAATGCAGTACATGCACAAAATATTCCATTTACTTTTGTGTTCTTAGCGACACGTCAAATTTCACGTTACGCGTAACCAAGACACAAATTTATTTTAGGGATATTGTTAGGTGTGTTTGATGGTCATGGAGGCCGTACGTGTGCACAAGTTGTCTCAAAGAGACTTTTCCATTATATATCGGCATGTTTGTTGCCCACAAGATTACTAAAACAATATCTCGACACAGTCAATTCCAACAATAAATTGGAACTTCTTCAAACGTTCAACGATAAAGTAGAGTTTATTTCTGAAATCAGAGATATCTATCAAGCAAGTTTTTTAACTTTTGTCAAAGACTTGATAGAAATGGAATGTACGAAAGAATTTCAAATGGAAACGGCTTTGGAAAATGCATTTCTCAGGTTAGACAATGATTTGTCAAACGAAGCACTTTCAAATTTAGATAAAAACGGTACTGCTACGACTCTTGCTGTTGCAATGTCTGGTGCTGTAGCAGCTGTTGCACATATAGATGGTCCCCATCTTCACGTTACTGGATTGGGTGATTGTCAAGCAGTACTCGGCATACTTTCCGGTATGAATCACAATAATTAAACTTTGCAACTTTATTAAAAATTCTCTCTCTGTCGTTGTTATATCGATCGTTGTTAGTATTGTCTTAAATTATAGAAAATGACGATTGGTCTGCAAAATTAATGACCGTCGAACATAATACCGACAATCGTGCAGAAGTTGAAAGAATTTTATCGGAGCATCCATCCAACGAAAAGTCGACTGTAATTAAAATGGAGCGGTTACTTGGACAATTAGCGCCGCTTCGTTCGTTGGGTGATTTTCGTTATAAATGGAATAAGCAGATCTTAAGAGATATAGCGGTACCGTACTTTGGGGAAGCAGCAATTCCACCAAATTATCATACTCCTCCATATTTGACAGCGAAACCAGAGGTCAAATATCATAGGTTAACACCTAGAGATAAATTTCTTATAATAGCTAGCGACGGTCTATGGGATTTAATGTCACCCTTACAAGCTGTACGTTTAGTGGGCGAGCATATGAGCGGGAAAGTAACATTGAGTCCATTGACGCTACCTCGTAAGAATATGAAATTATCAGATATACATAAAATGTTGTTGCAACGTAAAGAAGGTTTGAAAAAGAAACCCCTGGATAGCAACGCAGCGACACATTTATTGAGAAACGCGCTTGGTGGTACGGAATACGGTATAGATCACGTTAAACTGTCGCAATTATTAACGCTACCAAGAGAAGTGGTACGAATATTTCGCGACGATATTACAATAACGGTAGTTTATATGAACTCTGAATTTTTAAGACACTGCCCCCCGTGAAATTCTCTAGAGAAATTTGTTACATTTATAAAGTCTTTCACGATCCTCATTGTTTCTAAGCATTGTCTCGAAGAAATTGACGTTTTATTGTATACAGCTTGTTATTTATTTAATTAACAATAAAAACAATTTACATGGAAAGGATATTTCACTTATTCGCAATACGTACACATATATTACATACTACGTATAATCACGTTCGTGTAATTCAATGAATCATTTCAAATTGATTATCGGTAATTTATACTTATCAGAAAAAATGAATGCAGATGTCACAGACAATGTGTCGTTAATGTTGTTAAGCAAGATCAAAATTATAAAACGTACAAATAAATTGCTAATCTACAATCATAAACATTGTTCAGAAATACTTATTAATTCTATATATCATACAATTAATTTGTTAGGTACAAGTATAGCAATAATTATATAAGTTAAAAACGCACAGAATCTGTTACACGTTACGTCATGGATTACGTAGCATTTTAACTTTTTCTCGCGTTTCTGAATAAAAAATAGTCTATTGTTTTTTCGCAGATTAAAATATAACAAATTTTCATCACAAAATATATACTGTTCATTCTGTGATCTTTATATTAGTTTTGACAGTGTTTGTAAATAAGTATTAAGCAATGTACGTAACGTTGTCATTGCTATTGTGTAGTGGCTATCGAAGGAGAAAGAAAAAAATTTGAAAATAAAACTCCGAGTTAAAGTGATTGAAGTTTTTGTATAAATACTACACGTAGCAATGTCGATAATCAAACAAGATAGGCAAGTGCGTGTATAACAAAAAAATATTTTTGGAAGTATATAGCAACTTCGTTAAAAAGGTTAGAACATCAACCTTCTTGACCAAAATCTTCTTTAAATTTCTCTAATTTAGTCATATCCTCCTCGTTTACTGTAGGACGCGTAGTTGCTAATGACTTCAACATGTCTTTCTAAATACGAAAAATAGATTACAATTAGAACAAAGAAAAATTGAAACAATTGAATTGAAATAAAAAAACAAATCCTATATTTACCATAGTTACAGGTGGTTCGTACAATTTGTCACCCTCGACTTCCATCCAGTTCATTTCAATAGCGGCTGGATCTCCTGGTGAACATGGTGTCAACAAATCGTCCACAATTATAGAAGGATCTTTCGGCGATGGCCCTCTCACGCGTTTAAAATGCGTCGCAGTCTGAACCTGTCTAACTGGCTGCATAAGAGCATCTCGCACAATAATACTTATATCAGCGCCAGAGTAACCATCAGTGGCAGCTGCTAATTTTTTAAAATCTTCCTCCGTTAAATAATGAGAAGTATTTCCTAAGTGAAGTTTGAACATTACAGCTCGAGCTTGTTCATCCGGCAAAGGAATGTAAATCCTTTTCTCGAATCTTCTTCTGATAGCAGGGTCTAACACCCATGGTATATTAGTAGCTCCCAATACTAGTATACCGTCATTGTCTGACCCAACACCTAACACATTTGCCTTGATATATTTTACACGTACACGCGTATCCAGAGAAATGAAAACAAATCATTATCTTCCTTACCTTGCATTTGTACTAAAAATTCTGTTTTTATTCTTCTCGCAGATTCCGATTCATTGTCGGAACGCGACGAGCAGAGCGAATCCACCTCGTCGATGAATATGATACTAGGTTTGTGTTGGCGAGCTAATTCGAACAAACTTCTGACAAGTTTTTCAGATTCTCCGAGCCATTTGCTTACCAAGTCCGAAGACGACACAGAAAAAAACGTTGAATTATTAGCTTCAGTTGCAACAGCCTTCGCCAGATAAGATTTACCAGTGCCTGGTGGCTGAAAATATCTTAAAATTACTTAAAAAGTATTTAAACAAAGTTAGCTTTCTATTCAAAGTGTCACTTTCTAGAGTTATATATTTGATTATTTAAAAGTTACCCCAAACAACAAGATACCCTTCCATGGTATCCGTTTTCCAGTAAAAAGATGAGGAAAACGTATTGGTAAGATAACAGCTTCCTTTAAAGCTTCCTTGGCTCCGTCAAGACCCGCGACATCACTCCACTTAATGTCTGGCTTTTCAATGATTATCGCACCTTCCAATTTACTTTGAAGTTTCTTCTTTGCAGGATCACTGTCCGTGTCGCTGTCTCCACTGTCGCTCTTCTTATCCTCGGTTTTCGAATTATCTTCACCCGCTTTTACAGGTTTCTTCTTACTTTTCTTCAAATATGCTTTTAGCTTCTCGGCTCTTTCCAAGTATTGCGTACACTTTGCCCTTATACTTTCTTTAGCTCTGTCGCCTTGCGCTTCGTCTAGAGAAGAAGTAAAACCAATAACGCTCAAAGTCTATTCTCAACGTAAGATTATCATAAAAAAAGAAAAAAAAATGGAAAAAGAAGCGATATCGCAAAGGAAACCTGTTAATAATCATACATTTAATAGAGTGGAGGAAATATTCGACAGCATGTTCGTACAACCTAAGGGCCTCCTCGTAATTTTTATTACGATCTTCTTCGGTAGCTCTGGTAACCAGATCTATAGCTTTCTACGACACGCCAAAAGAGAAAATTTTTAATTACGATTGCGCGTTTTTAATCGTGAAGCAGAAACAACGAAAGTTACACGCACGAGTGGCTCACCTGCAATATTGTACCTGAAGCCATTCTATAATTATTTTAAGTTGCATCTAACCTTTGCTGCACGGTAGTTCACCGTCACCGATGGGACGCAGCGTCTCGAGAAAGTAAAAAAGAACGGCGATCGAGACGGCGACCTACCGCATCAAAATGATACTCTATGTCGCTTGATAACCTTCAAAATTCGGCCGACCAACGTCACCGCTTGACATATCACAGATCTCACTAATACACTTTTAAACAAACTCCTGAACGCAGTCTATCCACATCGTTTGTCGCGTTCTTAACGATGCGGACCATCAAGTAATGTCCCGTTTACAATATGGTTGAGAATCCGTGGAACAGAACACGCATTCACGTGAGATTCTGATTCAATGCACAAGTTGATGATAAAATAAACTTTGACCGTTTAAAGAAAATGTAAAATATGCAAATACTGGAAATATATGAAAAGCATGTATGTAAAATACACACTGAAAACTATCGTACATGTTGTGTAACATACGCGGTATCTCAATATGTATTGTGTATAAACAAAAAAAAATACATATATATATAATTACTCGATACATTACCATTACAGCGAA